TTGAATATCTAACTTGATGTGATATTTTTTCAATTTTCTAGGTTTCTTGCGGTATTTTTACAAAAGGTTTATGAAGAAATGAAGCGAGAACGAGGAAGGTAGCAACAAATCGGTTTCGGATATGATTTTTAGTGATAATACTGTGAATTGTTTAGCAGTTCTTTATGTATTTGTTTAGTTTCTGTTTTTTTTTTGTTTTTAGATATGTAATAAAATACTAATCTATTGAAACGTGCATAGCATACAAGACAAACGTTTATCATATATGCCAGAAAACCATTGAAAATTCTCCAGAAATGCAAATTTTCAGTATAAATGAGTTTTGGACGGGTAGCTTTGAACTTCTTCGGCTGGTGACGGGTAGTTTTATCACGTTTGGGTAAAAGCTACTCGTCACCAGCCAAAAAAATTTTTCGCAAATCGTGTATGGAGCTGACCGAGCCCAGCCGAGTCGAAGTTCAGTATTTGTCGGCGCTCTTGGCTCAGACATTTGAGATTCTCGGATTCTTCCCGCGACTCAAGAAGCCTTCAAGAGCTTTCGGTCAGTCCATTGCACGATCACACAGTTGTGAAATCATATCGCCTATACTGGAGAAGAGCAAAATGATCGAATAAAACATCGCCGCCTCATCGGGGAACCCACACGGCCGGGTAGCGCTACCCAGCGTTTGTTGGTTAGTTGCCAAAAAAGTGTCGGCAAGCGGCGTCGCGAAATAGCGTTGTCAGAGAAGCTAGAGCTTGCTTCAGAATACCGGCCGAGCCGATCTGGGTCGAGATTTAGTAATTGCGTTGTTTTTATTGTAGTTGGGTGCTTGAGTAATTTTCTTGACTTGGTTCGTCAATTATATAGCTGGTGACTGTCCATCAACTTTGGCCAGTGCTACATCGGCCGGTGGTCAGTCTAATGGCGATCCTGGCGCTCTCCCCGTTCCATGATTTATGGAATTTCGCCGGAAATTTGGTCCCATGCTTAGGTCCTATAACACAGCACCAGTAGCATCAAGTTTTGCTCTTAGGCTCATGCTGTTTGATTTCCAACCATATACAAGTGGCAAAGTTTCCATTATAAGTATAGAAACATAAAAAGTTGGTTTTCGTTGCTTAGTGAATTTGAACTGCATAAATGTAGAAGTTTAAAAGTGCTTTGACCAATACTGCATCGGCTCCACTGGTCAGCCCTGTGGTCAGCTCTGAGGTCAGCTTGCTGGCGATCCTAACGTTCGTTTTGTCTCTCGATTTGTCCACTTACCAGTAGAAACTGATTATCGGGGCAATGCCCGGCCAAGCTTATCACTAGATATTTGATAGATTATCGATAATTGATGCTGTTGCTACTTTAATGTATGGGCCTGTGTGCTGGAAGTGATTTTTCGACATAGTGTTCTCGTTTTTCTTTTTTGGTATTTTAGCTGTTACTTTTAATAAATGAACGTCACAGTCGTCATAGTGACGAGATCCAGTTGCGATGCTGAATAGGAATGTGCACGACTTAGTAGTGAACCGGGAAATTCTCCTTCATCCGATTATTTCATTCATTTATTTATTATTTATTTGTTTATTTATTTATTTGTTTATTTATTCATTTATTTATTTATTTATACATATCTGTTTCAGAAACTTTAAAAATGCAAACAATGAATATCTCTGGCTAAGAGATTGGAAGGAGGCGGGGCCTGTAGCGTATTTGTTTATATTCATATATACGTCATACTGATGAGGTCCAGTTGCGGTTCGCTGAATGGGAATGTTTACAACTTGATGAATTGGAAAATTCCCTTTTATCTGATTATATTTTTGTATTTTATATTTTCATAATATTTTTATATCTATACCTCGTATTTTTATATTTATATTTCTATCATTTTATGTTTTTTGCATTTTTATATTTATATTTTTATAATTTTGTGTTTTTACATCTTTTTTAATATGTATATTTTGTGTTTTTTATTTTTTTATATTTTACAAATATGTCTCATCACCGATATCTCTAATGTCAATTAAGAAGACTGATATTTTATCACTGTCGATGAGACGCGCCATCTAGTTGAGGCATACAGGTTTTTTTTTTAGTGTAATAATCTCTAAAATTTGAGATGTGCGAAAGCAAGCTGAATATCAGTGATGAATTTCTCGAAGCTGTCCTATCGCCTTTGCGAATTCTTCACAATATGGAAAATTCATCACAAAGTTAGTGTGTTGTATTTTTAACTTCATTATCAAAAGTACTTATTGCCAGCTGAAGAACAACGCTGTGATAATTTTAGTTGAACAAAATAAGTATCACTATTGTCCGCAGCCAAAATAGCGCCTCTTTATCACTTTTTATAAGTAGTAGTAGTTGTTGTTGTAGTTGTAATAGTAGCAGTAGCCGCAGTTCACACAAACATCTACCAAAAACTTTGGAGGAAGGGGTAAATTACCCTATAACAAAATAGCACTAGATTGTATTGGCCGGTGTTTGCAGTCCTCTGGGCGAGCTGTTTATAGTTTGAATTGATATAATCCTCATAGGGCCACCTACGGCTCGTACTGCCCTTCCTATTTTATAGCATGTTCGGAGATGATACACAAATTCAAAATCTCCTAGATCTTCCGGGAACCGAAGTTTTTCTTGGCATAGATTTCGATTACGCGGACAATTTTTTTTTTTTTTTTTGATTTTCGGTACCTATATATTTCCTGGACTGAAAAGATCATGGGCAAATCGGGTTTTTATGGAAATTGTCCTGTTATTAGGCTTAAATTTCTAATCTGAATTTTTCTCAAAAATGATTTCCCTGGATCGTAACTGTCTGTGCACCGTCTTTCCCGACACAAGGATGTGTTTAAATACTGGTACCGCATTCGACACATGGTTATTTTCAAATTGCATTAAGCTATCCTACTTTTTAGAAGGGCTTTGGTACCAGATCTGCTCAGCACCCTGAATTATTTTTTAAAAACTTCATATTCTATTCAAAGATCTCGTCATCGGCGGCGGTAGGACTCCTTTTCGGTCGATCGGTGAAATGCCGGAATAGGAATTGATGCGGTCTCGTTGATGCTGATATTGTTATGTATGCCCATGTAGTTTTGATACTCTTATTCTTTTTTTTTTTTTTAGTATTTCCTGCTCTGATCAAGGATATCGAATCGTTTGACAAGAAGCAATTGTCCAGCAGTAATGTTGATGCCCTGGCAGGTATAAACAAATATCTTTTTTTTTCTGCATTTACGGCATAATATTTCAAATCAAAAAAACTTAAAACCCCGTACTTCATTCTCCCGGAAAAGTGGAAACACGCAGAAATAGCCCGCGAGTGATAACATGTGTCAGCAACATTCTTCCGCCGACAAATTCTCTCAGTGGTTTCCTCTTCCGAGGTTTATTTGAGAAGGAGCTAATAGCAGTTTTTCAATGTCTCTGGTTTTTCTCAGTATCAGGTTTACCATTGATGGGAGTTAACCGAGAAGAAATCAGGAAGCGGAAGATTGTTCGGATTGCCAGCAGACTGATTACCACCAGCCCATGGCAGCAGTGGTCGGTCAAATGCATTTAGAAAATTTGCCAGCTGTATAGTTGAAGAACCAAACTATTACTTA